TTTTCCTTGGCACTGACTTCTTGAATAAACCAGGCCAATCTCACCTCATGGATTCTTTTATCACAACCTTTTGGGTGTTGGTGATTTTGATCTTTTTTTCCTGTATATTTACTATAAACTCAAGGCTAGATAAATAATTGATGAATTCAAGATAGGCATTTTATTTTGTTTTGCCTAGACTATATCTTTGGTGATGTTATGAAATTTATTTCTATCAAATCAGAAAAAAATCCTGACTGTATCCCAGCAGGAACCCAGTGGTGGTCTTCTGATCATGAAGAGTGATCCCCTCATTGTACAAACTGATTTTTTCTGGTGATCTGTAGTGCTTGTTTGGTATAAAAAATATATTTGGTTCTCTGACAACAATTCACTTGATGTTAATAACAATTGGTAATGTTTGCCTGAGTCAAAAATTTCACTGTAGATTATAAAGTGATTTCCTAATTTTATCATTCCTTCTTAAATATATTATCTGGCACTTTCTAAAATATAGCACTTTTTACTTGATCAATTGAGACTACTTAGTTATCTCAAAGTAAAGTTCTTGCTTGAAAAACAAAATTAGTGCTTAATTTCTTCCCTTTATATAATAAATTGTCAAAGTAAGGCACTGTTTTAAGGGTATTCTCAATTGATATAAAATACATTTTTAAAAATTCTCTGTTTTTTGAGAAACTATATATGTCATTAAAAACACATGAATTTTCATAAATGCCATGCCCAGTGATTCAACTGACTGCCATCATTATTCTTTTCAATATTCAAATTGGTACAATTATGGCCATTAAAGAACCCCTTCCAGTCAGCTCTTCTTTCTGTCCTTTTAACAGACCCCATGAACCTTGAAAATGTTACGGCAGAATGAGATTCTCTAGGTCCACACGGCCCCTTCTTCACTAGGACCTGCACTCAGTCGTTTCCACCAAGGACCCTTGTTCCTTTGGAGTTTATGATCATAGGATCCATCAGAATCTGAGCCTTGAGGAGGCTCTTTGCTCCTGTGGCAGCCCCCCTGCTGGGCCACTTGACGCACAATGTCCACCATCACCCACGTGGTTTATTTATGTATTTATTTTTACCCTTCTCTCATTGTGCCACTTTAGGTGGCCATATAAAATCTATGTTCTTTAGCGGTAATCACAGCAAATGTAAACAGACAAAACTCACCATTTGGAAGGTAGAATTCTTTCAAAAGTCACCTCTATGCTACTTACAAGTGACACTTCTAAAACACACTCACAAAGATGGAGAGTAAAGGAGGGTAGAACATGCCTACCAGGAGAATGCCTGCCAGAAGAAAAGCAGAGCAGCCAGACTGCAAGATAAAGCCATTCTGAAGAGTAATGAGGACTGCCACATGATGGTAACGGGAATGATTCTTGTACCACATGTAACAACTCTGCACTTGCTAGCCTCAAATTTTATAGAGTGAAATTGTCAGAATTTTGGGAGAAATTTGCAAACCCATGATCATACTTGAATATTTTAACCTGCATCTAGGATGCTTTAATGTGTAAGGCATTCACTTAGTAAGATTATAAAGTTGGAACAAAAACTATGAGCAAACTTTGTCTAGTGGTTATACATGAAATCTGGAGACTGCAAGTAGAATCTACTACCAACATACCCAGAGCAGGCACAAAAATGTCACTCACTGTGCCATAAAATTGGACCTTCAAGTATGAAAGAATCAGTATCATATAGACTATATTCTCTGATCAATACCATTTGTAACCAAAATGTTGAAGTAGTACAACATGCCCTTCTAGATAACTCATCAAGCCCCCCAAATTAATGAAAACATTACACAACTAAACTTGTGTAATCAATCAATCATTTCGTAGAAGAAAATGTGCATCTTCCAAACGTGTCTATTAGAAAAATGAAACATTTAAGGACCGGGCAGCCAATTTAAGAAGTTAGGGAAGAGGAGAGTAGAAGAAGAAAATAATGAAGTTCAGAAATTAATAACAGAGAAGGTAATGGTCAATGGATAGCATCAGTAGAGGTAGACATGGTTCCTGTTGGAAGACTCACAAAATGGAAAAGCAAGGGAAAATCAAGAAAAGGCAAAGACCAAAAATGAAGTACTAGAAAGGATAGAGTGTGTTCACYGACAGCTTTGGAAGATGAGCTCCCGGGGTCTCCTGCCTACAGCTGTGTGCTCTGCGAGCAACAGCACAGTTCCTGGCAGAATGGTCACCGCAAGAACATTTGTGAAAATTTCCATGACAAGGCAAATGTCCTTGGCAGTTGTGGCACATTAATTTCTAATTTATGGAACAAATTAATTTATTTCATCATCTTTTTTTTTTTTTTTGGCTGTAGCTAAGGAGAGCAGAGGGAGAGAGAAATTTTCCAAGAAATTAAGGGGTGGTTTGGGGAGACTTAGATAGGAGAAAGGGGTGGTATGGTGCAACAAGTCAAAATCGACTGTGATTTAGTTTCTGTGCATTTTATGTATAAAAATGACTTTGGGGGTCTCCTATACCAAAATGATATGTTAAAGAGCTTTCAGAGATTTAATTACACATTTAAGGCAGTAGCTCTACAGTTTTTAAATTAACTGAATTTTTAAAAATAGTAACTGAATTTGCAACAAAGAGGGATATTTTAAAATAATATGGCAATCTAGGAAAACTGAGACATATTCTTCTCCAGTAACAGGGTGTTGGAGGACCGGGCCACTGCAAAGACTTCAAGAGGGAAAAACATGTCACAGAATTGCAAATAATATCATTGAGGGATGTTCCCTGAAGGTAATTTTTTTCCTTTGCCAAATTGTTTGAAGTGTTGCCAGAATCCTGGGAAAAAGAACTTGGACAGGCACTACTGGGTCAGCCACAGGATACATACTTGTAACATTTCCAGATATATATGCTCATTTTGGAAGCTGACATATTAACTCTCAATGCTTCCTTTTAATGTTTATTGCTTGGAACAAATGTGACATTAAATGAGTATTGATTTGGATATGGTCTCACTGTCCAYTGTGAATTTTATATTAGAAAATCAAGCCGTCTTTGATTGTTCTCAGAGGAGGCTGATCCRTACTCAAGTTTGATTAAGACAAATCTGGTTTCATGGCTTTTGCTGAGTTTTCCTTGTAGGTACACCCTAATATGGCAGACACCTGGCTTTCTTTCTTAGGCCCAAGAGAGGGATAGACCAGGAAAAGGGATGCACATCACAAACACTGGGGGGAAAAAAAAGACGTCAGACATTAAAAGCATTTATTCTCTCCGTGTTCTGACATGAGTTGTCAAGTGATTAGATCCCGATGTTACCGGCATGAGAACTGAGAAAAGCAAATCAAAAGATATTGTTGCATTCAACTTGCTAACAAGATGTATTTGAAGGTGAAATTCTGCAGTGGGAGGGCCGCAAGTGAAGGCCAACAATTAAAATTTCACAGACTTTCTTTCGGTTAAATAAAATTTGCATCTTGCACAAATTAATTGGAATTTTATAACAGATGGAGCCGGATCTAGGGTCAGCAGAAAAAGAGTTTTCAGTTGATTGATGAGATGATGAAAATTTCCTACTTCCTTTTATATAATAAAAGAACTTCACAGAGATAATTTGGGTACATCCGTGCAGTTTGGGCCTTTCCGATGACAGGCTCGAGCTCCAGAGTGAAAATACACCAGGGCCACTTTGGTGTCGGTTCTGACCTGACACTTCTCTCGTTGGAATGTGTTTTTCTCTCAGCTGTGCTGGCTAAGTGACAACACAAGGAAGGTGAATTCTGTGTCGTGTGATTTGAGGACATTTCAGCTCTGTGAGCTCAGAATCTCCAAGTGGCGTCTGTGAATAGACTTTCTTGATTTGTATTAAAACACATTACACCCAACCAACCATCGYGTTCCATGGTGTAAAGAGCTTGTCTTTGTCATGGGAATGAGTTCAATTTGTGTACAGTTTCGCTGGAAATGTCTAGACATTTCTCCTTAAGAGACACAGATTTTTTTTTTTTCTTTTAAAAGACATGGAAAAAAAAATAAAAAAACCCAACTTTACATGCTTTCAAAAGATTGAAAAGATTGGAGGTACAGGCAATTGCAGATACCTATGGAGACGTTTTTCTGAACATTTCTCTGACATACCTCCTCAGTTTGTTGTCCTTTGGTGACCTGCATTGTGGGCTGCTGCTCACAGCAGTGGTTGAATATACATTTGTCATTGAAGGGACTAAAAATCCCCAAAGTGTTACTGGCCTGGGTGTAATAAAACAGACAGCTGAACTCGAACTGATTGAAATGCAGTCTAGCCTACAGCTACAGGCACAGTTAAAGACGCAGGCATGGCGATGCTTATAAATTGACTTAGCTTTTAACACTGGCTCCATGGAGTGCCTGCCTCCCCTGTCTATATGCCGGCTTGYTGAACTTGAGGTTATACCAAAAATGACATCCACCAGGAAGAGCTCAACGAGCAAAAGAGCTTTCTCCCACACCACCAACATAAACCAGGCATGGAGATACATTCTGAGTGTGTTTATGTGTTTGTGTACCCATGCATATACACAAAGACATAAAGGCTCTGGAGAGTGCAAGGGCAAGAACAAATAGCAGCAGCAGCAGCAGCAGCAGCARCARCAACAACAACAACAACAACAACAATACATTGACTCATTTAACACAGACTCTTCATCAATATCCACTGTGGGCAGGGTACAGGTAATTTAGGATAAGGACTAGATTTCTATATTTACATCTAAGGCTGGAAATTAAACTTTGCCAAGAACACTTTGAACACCTTCAGTTTGTCATCTGCAAAAGCACACTCCAACGACATCTCCAATGTCATCTTTATTGGCTCTTAAAAGAGAACATTGCCTTGGAAAACAAGCAAGGTCGTTGCTATTATCATACAAGAGATTTCCAAGGATTGACCACAACTCTGAGCTCAGAGTTATTTTTAGATGTGCTCATGGAGTAAAATGACTAAATGACAGTTTGATTTCAGAAACAATGTTCATCCCCGTGATAGATCTGCCTCCCACACCATGGAGACCATTCTCCATCACTGCAAGTCCTTTGTGTTTGTATTCATATTAAATGTGAACTAACAATGAAATAAGGGATGGAGATGAATCTGCAGGATCAAGAAGGTACTGTGCCTACTTGTTCCGGGTTGGAAAAAGGAGGATCAGTTGAAAGCAGAACAGGTAAGATAAATTAACCTATAGTAAACTGGAATGTTCATGAAAAACACTTTTAAAATCTGCTAGCGAGGAGTAAGTAGTCCTTATCCATGACCATCACAGAGGATGAGACCACAGTAGAAGTTCAGAGGGAGACGTGGGACAAAGTTAGACTGGGGGAATGGGAATCTCTTACCCTYATAAGATGAAGTGTATGCCCCTGTGGAGTAGACAGAGTGTATATTTCAAATCTAAAATAACATTTCTAGCAGATTGCATAACACTGAATGATAACTGGTGCAGAGAACTAGAAACTGGATAAAAGTTCTCCATACTTTTAGGTTAAAACATGGCTTCTAGTGATAGTTTCAAATGAGAATATGATTTTTTCTCTTATACCACTGCCACCTTTGCAGCCCTTACCTCTTCCTTAAATCAGAAGAGAGAGGGAGTGGGAATTTTTTTTTTTGTTGCCACATTAAGCATTGTTTACTTCCATAGTTATCTTTCTAATTACACATTAGCACAGTTTACATGCAAATAAAGCAACTATATAGGTCTATGTGTGAATTTGCTTGTACTTGTCCCTGTAAGTGATTGCAGCTAATTTTGGTAAATAATTTATGTTGCACTTAAAGGCATGAAATGAATTTACAAATGAGAAAAATTAAAACAATTGTTTCACACCCTCTGACATTTCTTCACATCTTAAATTTGAAGGTTTTTTTTTTTTTTTATCTCCCTGGTTGGCCTTAATTATCTTTGTTTTTTAATAATTCCTCTAGCAGAAATTATCAGAAAATCATCATATTGATGGCACCAGAATTTTTTTTTTTACCAATATGCTTTTATACACTACATTGTAAAAGTTTCTTTGGAAAATATCCCATTATTGCACACAAGACTTAGTAACTGAATTTAATATTAGCAAGTATAATTTAGCCACTTGCTTTGATTTGAAAGATCTAAGTGACCAAAATACTGTGTTCTTCTCAACTACCCCATGGTAGATGCAACTTTTTCTGTATATGTAGGGAATTCTTTTCTTGGATTCTTAGGAAGGGATTCAAACACAGACTTCACKTATTAACTCATGATCTGGTAGATATTTACGCTATTATATATGTACTGAAACCCAACAAGTGGTCCAATATACACTTTTGGATAAAAGCTGTACTTTTTAGGACTTCAGACTCTAGAGGAAAACCAGCATATGCACAAATACTTAATACACGATTGGATGACTGCAATAACAGRGGTCATTGTAAGAGGTTCTGGTGATAGAATGGAAAAGTTCCTAAACACACAGCTAACCTGATGCTAATAGTCAGTCTGGAGCCTGTCTGCTGGGCTTTGAATTCAGCTTGTACCCTCTGCTAGCTATCCAACAGGACTCCTGCCTATAAATAAGGCACAGGAAATAGCAAATAGCTCCGAGATTGTTGCTGAAAGTAAAAAGTGAAATACTATTTAAAAAGCACTTAGGTTAGAAATCACAAAGCACTGGTGTATAATATGTTTTAAAGTGTCTATTAATTAATTTGCTTAGAGGTCTGGGGTGAGGGAAAACTTCATGGAGGTATGTGTTAATTGAATCTTGAAGGATGGATGGGAATTTGTCATGGTAGACAACAGGGTTGATCAGATGGGCGGCTTTCGAGGGTTCCATTCTACACGGGGTGCTAAAACATCGTCTGACAATTAAAAGATGGGGAAATTGTATTTATTAGGCCTCCTCCCAGGGAGAGCACTGATTGGAGTTTTAGGGAATGCCAGGAAGAGTGGTCGGGGTAGAGGAGGGAGTCTCCCAAAGGCTGTGCTCCTGTAACAACAGATGGTCACTAAGTGGCTTCCTGGGAGCTGGATCTGCTTAACTGCTACATGGTTATTTAGATGAGCCCTTACCCACGAAGCTTTCCATCTTTCCTCTAGCTTCATATTAATTTGACAGAGTGCCAATTGCTAGATTGCCTCGAAGCAAGGTTATGTGGTTGTAACAGTCAGGGGAGAGCTTGGATACAGGCAGAGAGGCAGGAGCACCCATGGAGGAATAATTCCACGTGGGGGTAGAACAGGAGCTGCTGATGAGAAGAGYCACGGCCAAGGGATGAAGATCCTCAGGCTCAGGTCTCCAGGCAATGGGGAGCCTTTTATGGAAATGACAAATAGATTTATAGTGAGGAAGATTCTCTGTCTATATGAGGGGACTGGATGCTGGAAAATACATAGGAGACCATTGAAACAGACCAGGAGCCTTTTGATGAAAGCCTGAAATGAGTCAGTTATTGTGTGGATGAAGAGGGATTGGACCAAAGGTCGGGGAGAGGCAGCCACTGTATGTAGATTAAGTGACAAAGTAGGTGGTTATTTCATGGTTATTGCTATTCCCATTTATTTATGGTGATAAAGGTAAAAACTCACAATATGAGTTGGAACCAGGAAAAACTTGAGTCACATTGTAGCAGTAATGGCACTGGGGCATTGCAAGGGATGTCGATTTCCTGAAAGAATTTGAATCAACTATGGACCATCATCATTCAGAAATTTCAGTATTTGTAGTTTCTCAACGCAAACGTAGTTGGGAGTAAATTAAATCTTTGTGCACTTTTAAAGAAGAAATCCTCAGCAACCTCTTTCATCATAAAAGATAAGTCAATATGCAAATGATTCAAAAAAAATCATACAAACCCTACTATTTTTGTTTGGGCTTTAATTATAGCAAGGCTTCATCCAGAACTTTGTTTATGTCTATCATTCTATGAATTCTTTCTCCTATCCCCTTCTCTGAAAAGAATTTGACAGAAGTCTGCGTTTCCTTTGAACTTTAAAACCCTTGGCTTTCCAGTGGCTTAATTACGGATTCTTTAGCTTAACTAGGTTATATATATCTTTGTTCCATCCTAATTGGGCTCTGAGCCAGGTCTCTGAGCATTTCTTGATTCAGATTTCTGACATATTTTTCATTGTCTCTTCATGGTCACTCCTCTCACCCTAAAAGAAGGAGCTTTGCCATCCACAGATTTCCTCTAGGCGAGACTGGAACTTCTCCATCATGGAATCTCACACGCAGCAGAAATTAAGTTAAACTCAAAACAATAAAGAAAACATGCATAATGCTGTAGTCGGAGCCTGGAAATGATGTCTGGCCTAAAGCCCTTTGTGTGGAGAGGGACTTCCTGGTATTAGCTGTTCCATGAGCCAGCATGGGCAGCTCAGCGGCCAGCCAGAGGCCACATCAAAGAGGTRCAGCCCTTTCAACTGTAGCTCCTCTGGAAAGAATTCCACAGGGCAAACCTGTAAAGGGGGAAATAATGTGTCAAGCAGGCTCTGGGTTTTGGTAGATTGTAGGAAAAATATCTCAGATTGAAAGCAATAAATTCCAGTAGAGGGGAGAGAGRGGGGGGTGTGTGCAGATAACATTTGTGTGAGATGAACTTTACACATGTGATAATATGTCACTCCCATGGGAAATCTGTACGGTGGAGGTGGTTCTTTCCCTTTCATAGTTGAGGAGCTTGAGATCCTAGGTGAAGGTGCTCAAGATCACCAGCTGATTAGTGGTGGAATCAAAATTAAAAYCTTTGGCCCACGATGCGGAAGCTCATGCCTCTATTTCTGGCCCATACTGTTGGACTAATTTTTTTTTCTTTTGAATTTTTTAGAATCTAATATTTAATTCTAATCTTCAAAATGTGATAACTATAACAGGACACATCCACATTTTTAATGTCCTCTGATTCTAAGTTTATTTCTAAGTTGTTTATTTGGAACTTGAACAGTTTTGCAAAGAAAATGTGATACAAAAATGGAGTTATGCTGGGAGTGGTGGAAGACACCTMTAATCCCAGCAGTTTGAGAGGCTGGGACAGGAGGATTACCAGTTCAAAGCCAGCAAAAGTGAGGCACTAAGCAACTCAGTGAGACCCTATCTCTAAATAAAATACAAAATAGGGCTGGGGATGTGGCTCAGTGGTTGAGTGCCCCTGAGTTCAAACCCTGGTAACCCAGGGTTACCAGAATTTATATTTCAAGGCAAAYTCCCTACTAATCTTTCATGTGGGGTCCTAAAATCAAGGTGTACTTTGAGAAAGAAAGCTGTGGATGGCGGGAAGGAAGAGAAGAACTCATTTCTTGAGGTTAAGCTTTGCTCTTGGAAGTACTGCAATTGGTGAAGATTTTTGGCGATATCTTTTTATATCCCTTCTTTCACCATTAGTGACTGCTGGTATCTTTCCTCAAAACCACTTGTATCAGTGTAGGTCCAGCCAGGAGACAGAAACCATGCAATAATTTAAAGAGTGGAAATGTAATATAAAAATCACAAAGTTATGATAGCAGAATAACTATAAAAGTACAGACATAAAAAGGGGACCTAGGGCTGAAGGAGAAGACCTTAGAAAGGACAAATCTGATAGAAGTATCCTTTGTTCAAGGCTGCAGTTGAGACCTTATTGGAAAGGTACAATTGCAGCCCCTGGATGGTGGAGACGTTCTTTGGATTGCTCAGGCCTGAGCTGGTCCAGTCATGGGGAAAACATGAACGAAGCAAGCTTCTAGGGCATATGCAAGTCTCGGGGTCTCAAATTCTGAGGCGTGTAGGTGAGCCAAGGCTGGTGGGCAGGAATTCAGAGCAGTCAGAGCGCTGCTATGGGCAGGGGCCAGAAGCAGTGGTACTTGCATTGGGAGAACTAGGGACGATGTGGTTGGAGCCAGGCCAGGGCAGTAAGTTCACCAAGAGGCTGCACTTTGGGGCAGAGCAGTGTGTAAACCTGTAACATACCTGTAAAAGCAACAAAACCAACCAACCTCACGACAGAACCAGCACAGGGAGCCCCTTACTCCTACAGTGTGCGGCGTCCCTCCAGGGCCTTCCATGGACGAAGCTGTACATCAGGCTGTCTGTAAAGGAGAGATTGCACAGGGATTGAAGGGGGAATTTAGAGCTAAGAAGTAGAAGTTGGTGACTGGACCATTATTTCCTTCTTCCTCTGTGAAAATAACTTCATATAAATACCAGTAAAGAAGAAGCAAATGAAAGTAAATAATGTTTTTATTAATTGCGAGCAGTTGATCACATATCATCCTTGAATGTGGCTGGAWTTTTTTTGGGAGGGGTGCTTGTATTTTGCCAATGATGAGCACAGTRCCTGGCTTTCAGCAGGCTTTAATCAATCTTTGTTGAATCAATGAATCTCAGTAAGGTTCATATTCTTATGAAGGAAGTGTGAACTATTAGTGAGAATTTGTAAGTGCCATTCACTGTTCACTTTTACATGGTGAAAGTAAGTGCATCGAGAATGGAGCAAGAGAGCATAGATAAGGGGAGAGATTCTGGACAAGTGAATAAATGATTGTGTCACTGATGGGCAGAGTTGAGTGCAGATATTTAGATCCAGTCCTTATTTTGCTYTGGCCATTATAGCTTCTTCCCTTTTTTTTTGAGATTACAGATTCACCAGACCTTCCAAATTGCTTTGCCGAGTGTTTCTAACACAGAGATGAGACGGAAGGATCCTCTGGGTTCGGGGTAATAAACAGGTACAGTGGGTCTGTTTTCTTGATTAGGATTAATTTTAGTTGGGAATTATTGTYATTAACAGGAATGAATAAGTGCCTTATTGAGAATGTGTGAAAATCTGGTTCATATCTATATTTTCCACTTTTCTTATTTATTGTCTAAATATGATTTAAATTTTATTATTGCCAGGGGGAATCATCAAGCCTCATATTTATTATCTATTTATGTGTCTATTTATTAATTTATTATTTATTATCATAACTCCACCCTTTTCAAAAAGTAACTTAAAGCAGACATAATTAAGCCATGTAAAAGATTCATTTTTAAAAAGGCCAGGAAAAGGGATTTTAAAAACATAAAAGGAGGAAAATATTCATACCAGAAATTAGAATTGTATGGCTACGACAGAGGATGAAATTATTGGATGCCATATGTTGGGTGCTTAGAATATTGGTTTAATTAGAAAAATAGTTAACTTGAGATCCAAATATCTAGAATTAGACTCTCACTCTGCCATATGCCTGCTGGGTGTCTTTGGTAATCATTTTTTTTTTTTTAGTCTCCAATTTCTCATCTGCAGACTAGACAGAGGTGACTTGGACGTGTTGCCGTGGTGATGGTTACAGGAACTCTGGCACATGCACACGTTTCCTGACACTGTCCACATCTGAGATGTCACTCTCAGGGAAGCAATCTCCACACACGATTTGTATTCGATATGTGAGCAATAAAGTTGGTATTTATTTRTGAAGAGAAGAACTCATATTTTCCCTCAACCATAGCAATAATCCAATTGTTCCCAGGTAGATGGTTAGGGGCACCCATGCTTAGTAGTGTTCAAATGTTATTGAAAGGAAAGTTCCTGGTTTGATCTTGGCTGAGACTCCCAAGCTCAGGACCACAGGGTAGGAAAGCGCTAATGTGGCCTAGGACATCTGTATGGGCAAATATTACCAGTCACTTCAGGCAGACACAAAAACTCCACAGAAGGTTAATTTTAAATAACACTCCTCCTGATAAGTTAGCAATGAAATATACCTTGAAGCACATTGCAAATTAATGCCCACAACAGAGGAGCCTTATTATTCAGAATGACCCTTAAGAATATATGTCCCCAACAGAACGTTTGATTTGGGATTAACTATGTAATTAACCTATAGCTTCAAAAATGGGATCTTGAGAGCAACACTCTGTCATTTAATCTTCAGCTAGGGATTCTGAGCATGTTCCTCGGGCCTGGAGTGTGCCTGGAACAAAAGCGAGTGGTGAATGAACGCAGTCTCTAACTCTGGCTTCATTTCCTGAGAACTCCAGAAAAATTTATTGTGAAGAAGCCAATGACTTCTGGCTGAGCACCCATTATCTTCCTGTGGTTCTACTTGTCCAGAACAGGGATGGCATATTGAGGGGGGAATGTCCCTTGGGGTTCTGCATGGCTTCTCATCTCTTCTTATTCACCAGTCTTGGCGTGTGATTGCAACCACTCCATTCACACCACTTCTTCCAATCTTCCAATCGTCCCATCTTCAGATTCTATGGAATCCCAGCCCTAGAGAGCCAGTTACCCACCATGTATCCAACGAAGTCAGTCCTTTCATCTGTCACGGACATCTCAGATTCAACATTCCTCAGACTCCTCATTTTATTTCCCAAACATCCCCCACTGTAGRGCACGTCACAWTAGAGAAATAGAAACCTATGATGGAGAAGAGGAAACCTGACTTGCAKACTGATGCTCACTTCCTGGTCTTGGGGCCACTYGTGGCTAAGATGGCATCTGGCGATCCGCCAGAAGGCGTTACCGTGGGTTGTGACAAAAAATCAGACCACCTCTAGAGCAGGCTCAGACCCTGCTGACCTTTATCCTGATTGGCTCCTGTGCCTTATATTAGCTGTGTGTGCTTCCTCCGTAAACGAGCTCCAGCCTTGACTGGTCTCCCTGACGAGACTGAGGAAGGGCTGGGTCAGTCGGCCCTCTCCTTTCTTGGCTTGTCCTGGCCGGGGCATGTTCTCCCATCTCTCCTGCAGGTTGGGAGGGAATGAGGGCTAACAAAATTGACCTCAGTAGTTAAATTCAGAAACCGAGGGTCTATTCTGGACATAGCCCTTTTCCTCACTGTGACACCCTTTCCAGCCAATTGACAAGCTCTGATTTATCCTCTCCCAGGAACATCTCTCAGGTAAATCCCCTTCCCCATTCTCACTGCTGCTGCCCCAGTCACCACCACTTTCTTAATTGTCACCCAGCCAGGCCACCTCATTGCTGCTCACTCTTCATCTTGGAGGATTGTTCTAAAGCCCAGATGTGGTTATGTCATTCCACTGAGAGGCGCTAACTCCTCTCCACCCTTCAGACTCAGATCAGCAGTCACTTACTGTGGGAAGACTTGTCTGATTCTCTGAGAATTAGCTAGGAAAGCGTCAATTATTCATGGAAAACTTGGAGTGTTTTTTTTTTTTTCCCCAGCTTTCCCACCCACGATCTCATTCTCTTTGTTTTCAACTTGAACCCGACAGAATAACTGCCACAAAGAAAGGTGGACAGAAGAAGGCTGTTCTGCTATCAAAGACGTTGTGAGCCAAGAACACATCATAAACATTCACAAGAATACCCATGGAGCGGCCCTCAAGAAGCATGTCTGTGGGCCACTCAGAGGGATTCAGAAGTTTGCCATGGAAGAAGATGGGGACTCTTGGGGTGCTCATTGATACCATGTGCGCAATGGTTTGGAAAATGAGATTCACCAAACAAGTTCTATACTTCACTAAACTATGTCCCTGTTTCCACCTTAAAAAATATACAGTTTATGTGGATGAAAACTAACTGCTGATTGCCCAAGTTATAAAAGTACAAAAAMATTATGGAAATGGGGATTGTGTATGGCAAGGATACAAGGCCAAAGAGTCCTTTATATGTTGGACCAGTTGAAAAAAATATGGGAATTTATCTCAGAGTTAGTAAGGGTAGCAGAACATCTTACAAAGCAAACAAACACCCTCGAAACCACAGTGTAATCATGTATTTTTCTAGCAATGCATTCTAATTCCATCTCCACCTTCCTATGTCCATCTGCTTTCCACTTAGACCCATCAAATCATTTGCCCCTTCACCGCAGCACAATCTCTTGACCACTGGCAAATTGCTACTAGATTATTCTCTCTTCCTTGCTTGTTTTCAGAGTCCATTTTTTTGAGCTATTTCACACTGCATGATAAATCTCTATTTCAGGCCTGCTGCCTTGATTATATCCCTCTGTTTTTCCCCAACTCTGTCAGAGAGTCTCACTGTCTGCTGAATCAAATACAGTCTCCTAATAATAACCTCCAGAGATTCCCATCAGACTGGCTCCTTCTCCCAGCCGGCTCTCGTAGAGCTGCAAGCCAACGGAGGCACTCTTCTTCCCCATGGCTCTCTTGCTCTTTCGAACACTGAGCTCCCCCAACACAAAATAACAGCCTTGTGTTAGCCTTGCTCAGATTCATCTGCCCCAGAGTCGATTTTGGATTTACCTACTCAAAGAAACTTCTTCCTATGCTTCTCTTTGCAGCCTCCTATAACAGTCGCAGCATCTTTCTTTGCACATACTAATATCATGATATTTTCTTGAGTTCACTATTCATGTTATCCACATATTTTTCTGACTTCTTAAATCTTTTAGAGTGGGAACAATTTCTCTTTTTCTACACATGGTATAGCTTCAAGGAATTAGAAATGGTACCGTTTGTCCTGTGGATCTTCTACAAATATTTGCTGATTTAGTGATTATTGTGCGTGTATCCAGTATTCCAGCTACAGAAAAATGAGTAGTCTAAACTGTGTGCTGTGTGTTAATTGTTGATTAGGACTGGAATGCATAATATAACTGAATTAATGTGGCAAAGATTTTGAATACACTCAAATCCTTGGAAACTATCTCTCATAAGACCTAATGGACAATGAATTTAGAGATAAGCTTATATCTAAGAATTAGGTGTGAGTTCTGACTAAATATGTTCATTTGAAGGCTTTGATTGCTTTATATGTTAGAAACGTAAAGAACTATTTGTATTTTTCATCAATTTCTTATAGAGTAAGGACTTAATATATTTTCTAGGTCTCATATTTGGCTTCCAAAATTATAAATAATTTTGGGTCATTTCTGATTATGATCCATGAAATAATCATTCTGAATTGCTTGTTATATTTTGTAAAAATTTAATGATTTCTAATGCTTCAATTTTTTATTATATTTTGTAAAAATTTAATGGTTTCTAATGTTTCAATTTTTAAAATTCTTGGTCACTTCCTAAAGACATATTGTGGTGGGCAGAATTTTAAAGATCTCCCCAGATTCCTGCCCCCTGACTACTCAACCAAACGCTAATGTAGGTGCTGTTGTCAAGGGACTTTGTCGATGTAATGAAGGTTACCAATAAGCTGACTTGATGATAGAGTCATCTGGACTCTCTGGGTAGACACAGGAATTGTACACCTGTAAAAGGAAAAGAGGAAGGCAGGAGAGAGCATGGACCAGAGAGGTGTGGCAGAAGAGGATTCTACATGCTCTGTTTGCTTCTGAGAAGTAGAAGGTTATGTGAAAAGCTCAGGGGAGCCCTCTAGGAGCTAAGAGTGACCCTCAGGTGGCAGCCCCTGAGGAAATGGAAACTTCAGTCCAACAACCCCAAAGAACTGGGTTCTGCCTACTGCCTGAGTCCGAATGGAACCAGTTTCTTCCTTTCAGTAAAGGTTCAGCCAGACAAAATCTTGATTTTGACCCTGTGAGTTCTACAGTGGAGAAACCAGTCATGCMAGTGTGGATGCCTGATTTGTAGGCAGAAAATGAACATTATTTCAAGCTGCTAAATGAGTAATAATTTTATACAGCAGCAACAGGATATAAATACACATATCAAAAACACAGAAAGGTTGATTTTTGACCCTTTCCCTTCTGTTGGAAACCTTTTTTTGGGGGGTACTGGGGATTGAACTGGGGGACACTCAACCACTGAGCCACATCCCCAGCCCTATTTTGTATTTTAATTAGAGAGAGGGTCTCTTTGAGTTGCTTAGCACCTCACTTTTGCTCAGGCTGGCTTTGAACCTGCGATCCTCCTGCGGCATGATCCTCCTGAGCCTCTGGGATTAGAGGCGTGTGCCATTGCGTCCGGCTGTTGGAGACCTTCTGGCTCATTTCATTCTGGATGGCCTTGTAGGCTCCACCCTGCAATTCATGAAGGTCTGTGGATAACAGTTACATGATAATATTTGCTTTAACACACTTTGTTAGGGAACACAACTTGGTTTATAATTCAAGTAGATTTTCTTTAAGAAAATTCTTTCTCAATTTTTATTCACATTTGTACACATTTAATAGCTGGTTTGATTTGAGATGGAAATGTTTTATGAATAAATTTTTTCCCTTACAATTTGGAAAATATTTTCTATTATCTTCTAGTTTCTAGACTTGTTAAAATTTCTTTTTGCTATTTTTAATTCCTGATCTTTTGTATACATTCTTCAAATTTTCTCTAAAGCTATTAGAAATCTCTTTAATCCTGATGCTTTGATGTATCATGACTTCAGGTTCTGATAATAGATCTTTTAAAATTGTGCATCATATATTTACATAATTATATATATTCATATCTGGGTGTGTGTGTGTGTGTGTGTGTGTAGCGTTTGTATGTACACACATACACATATATTTTGTCCAGCCTGGGATTCTTCCAGTCTATAAATT